TCATATTGTTACATTAACCAAAAACAAATTTAATTTTTTTTTTTTTTTTTTGTGTGCCACCCCAAGATTTTCCTCTGGCCACCCCTGTTAATATTTTCTGGGGGGCGCCACTGGCTTTTGGAAGGCATCCGAGCAGTTTTATTACTCAAAGCAAACATTGCTGATAAGTTCACGCAAGAGTCAACTCTCAACTCGTGGTTACAAACATTAAAAAGACCTGCGCAACATGGGGCGTGGAGTCCACTCTTTATCATATTTAAAGCACCATATATAGAGGCAGGTTGGTTTACAGAACCAACCCGATCATCTTTGAACATGGCGGCGTTAAAGGCATGCAGTGCTCTAGTGACGGGCCAACCGAGGCTTGGGTTTAGAAATGGCCAAGCAACTCCTGGAGGTCCATTGCTCAAACATTTGTCGTGACCCAGATGGGCCAAACTCTGAGGTGAGTATTTAGGAGCTTAGGTTCGTACACAGCTCAAGAAATCTGTTTTTTATCACTCACATTCTCTTTCTGATTCAGGCACTGAGAGAACTGGCCAAAAAGCATCCAAGTGTTGTCACCCTTGTGCAACTTGGTATATGTGCATTTGTCTTTTGTTTTGGACTACATTTTACATTACAACAGTTTTTAATTTTTGAAATAACATATAGCTTTTTCCTGCTACTATTAGATGTAGCTGATCAATGCAGTATCAAAGAGTCTGCCAAAAAAGTGGGTTCTCTACTGGGAAAGAATGGCTTGAACCTGCTTGTGAATAATGCTGCTGTTACCACACAAAAAAACCATGATGACCGCCACTGTTGAGGACATGCAAAACACCTTCAACACCAACGTGATAGGACCTTTATTTGTTATTAGGGCAATGGAATCACTTTTGGGAGCAAGCCGAGGCTTAATTTCTTGCAGCGTCTGAAACTCTAGATGCTGTTAATGTCTTTAATCAGGAGTACCTGCCGTATCTGAGTGCAGCAACTAAAGCCAAGGGCAGACCAGGGATGTCATGTAATAAAGCAGCTGTGATTAACATATCCACAGATTCAGCATCTATGAGCATCATGCCAGTAATGAAAGAGCCATTCCCACTTTTCCCATACAGCATCAGCAAGGTATGCAAGAATCCTAAGACTCTGATAGGCGTCAGAAATCCTCATTTGTATGTGGTTTGAAGCTCAGTTAAAATATATTTGGAAATGTTTCTGTATGAAAAGGTCAGACTGGATCTCAATGTCCCTGAATGGAAAAAAGAAAATATTTGAAATTGAATGTAATGTCATAACGAGTGTGCTAATGAGCTGTGTGCAAAATCACCTGACTGCTACACAGTGTGAACAAGAACCATCTTAACTGATTTGAAACTTTGTCATGCATCCGTTTTCCTTTCAGGCTGGTCTTAACATGTTGACCATATATACCGCAAGGGACTTAAAGGGTTAGTTCACCCAAAAATGAAAATTAGGCTGCGTTTTACTCACCCCCGAGGCATCCTATGTGTATATGACTTTCTTCTTTCAGACGAATCCAGTCGGAGTTATATTAAAAATAGTCTTTGATCTTTCAAGCTGTTTAATGCCACTCAGCGGGTGTTGCATTGCTTCAGTCCAAAACAAGTTAAATAAAAATCGCCCATCCATAAAAAAAAAAAAAGTGTCTCACATGGCTCCGGGGGGTGAACAAAGTCCTCCTGTAGCGACTCGATGCGTTTTTGTAAGAAAAATATCCATATTCAAAACGTAACAAATTATGTTTTATTAATCTGAGTGTACGTACCTCAGTTTTTAAGTGAAAAAATAAACATTATTTGTGGATAATTTTGTTAATATTAAATAAAATATGAAAAAAATTGCACTGTTTATCACACTACTGTGACAAAACGAGGATTTGTAAAGAAGAATGTCAGAGGATTTCGATATAAGCCAAGAGGAGACTGGTTTTCCTTTGCTAAAGGAAGGAAACTTTGCTTCCTTTGCTCCTGTTAACAAACGTTGGTTTTCAACAGACTCACCGGCGCATGCGTAACGCTGACCTCATACGCCATGCTCCCGGAACTGCTTCTGAGTACAACTGTTGGCGCAAGCTACATTAAAGTGATTATTACGTTTTGAATATGGATATTTTTCTTACAAAAACGCATCGATTCGCTACAGAAGGCCTTTGTTCACCCCCCGGAGCCGTGTGAGACACTTTTTTTTATGGATGGGCGATTTTCATTTAAGTTCTTTTGGGCTGAAGCAATGCAACACCCGCTGAGTGGCATTAAACAGCTTGAAAGATCAAAGACAATTTTTAATATAACTCTGAACGGGATTCGGCTGAAAGAAGAAAGTCATATACACCTAGGTTGCCTCGGGGGTGAGTAAAACGCAGCCTAATTTTCATTTTTGGGTGAACTAACCCTTTAAAGGCAGATGAGATCCTCTGCATTTCTATTCACCCAGGATGGATGAGGACGGACATGGGGGGAGATGAGGTAAATCTAGAGTCAGTAATATAGGAATCTCTCAGGACAGAACAGAACATGAGGTCTGAATCACAAAAGCACACTGATGGTCTCTTTTTGATGTTACACTATTTTAAATGCATGTTATTACTTGTTTGTCCACCAGGCGTCCATTGATGTCAGAGAAAGTGTGGAGGGGATGCTGTGTGTCATTGGCAGCCTTCCTGAGAAGCAGAACGGTGCATTCTTAGACTACACTGGAAAAACAATGCCCTGGTAAACCAGAGAAAAATCAAGTTCATCAAAGGGCTGATCCAGATGACCTATTTTACCTATTATACACTGAACAAAATTATAAACGCAACACTTTTGTTTTTGCCCTCATTTTTCATGAGCTGAACTCAAAGATCTAAGACTTTTTCTATGTACACAAAAGGCCTATTTCTCTCAAATATTGTTCACAACGACGAACTGCAGTCAGGTCGAGACCCCGATGAGGACGGCGAGCATGCAGATGAGCTTCCCTGAGACGGTTTCTGACAGTTTGTGCTGAAATTCTTTGGTTATGCAAACCGATTGTTGCAGCAGCTGTCCTGGTGGCTGGTCTCAGACGATCTTGGAGGTGAAGATGCTGGATGTGGAGGTCCTGGGCTGGTGTGGTTACACGTGGTCTGCGGTTGTGAGGCCGGTTGGATGTACTACCAAATTCTCTGAAACGCCTTTGGAGACGGCTTATGGTGAACATTCAATGAACATTCAATTCACGGGCAACAGCTCTGGTGGACATCCCTGCAGTCAGCATGCCAATTGCACGCTCCCTCAAAACTTACGACATCTGTGGCATTGTGCTGTGTGATAAAACTGCACATTTTAGAGTGGCCTTTTATTGTGGCCAGCCTAAGGCACACCTGTGCAATAATCATGCTGTCTAATCAGCATCTTGATATGCCACACCTGTGAGGTGGATGGATTATCTCGGCAAAGGAGAAGTGCTCACTAATACAGATTTAGACAGATTTGTGAACAATATTTGAGAGAAATAGGCCTTTTGTGTACATAGAAAAAGTCTTAGATCTTTGAGTTCAGCTCATGACAAATGGGGGCGAAAACAAAAGTGGTGCGTTTATAATTTTGTTCAGTGTAAATAAAGTGATAAGAACAGTCATTAATGTTTGACATGTTTAACTTCATTCTCTGAGTGTTCAATACAATAAAACTAACTAAACAAACAATACTGCAATACTGTCTCATATATCTGAATGCATAAGCTTTTTGGGCTGTTTAATTTGCCATTCACCATTTTTAAAAAAAACATGTCTTTAAAGACACTTAATCATTCTTTTTCATTTTAATTAATATCCTTAAATTTGATAAACTATTACATAGATCTACTGAGTTTACCAAGCTACTGCTACAGTAGTCAACATTTGAAGTGGATCAAAAAAGTTCATCAAAGTTGTCCGAAGACAAGAATGCATTTTGGTTTTAGGACAACTTTGATGAAAGGTTTTGATCCACTTCAAATGTTGACTACTTGGAAAAGAGCAATTCTGATTTGACACAACATATCAGTGACATTTATATGTGAGGTAAATGAAATTATTAGTAAATTATCCAAACATATACTTTGGTAGACAACAAACTGTCCATAAAACATAACATTATGCACTACCAATCAAAGGTCTGGACACACTTGACTGAGCTTCTTGTGAGCTTTAAAATCTGTTTATCTAAAGTATTATGCTTAAATGCCTGAAATTAATTTAGCAGGCATGATAGACTGTTGTACATTAAACTTTAACTAAAATTAATTAAAAGATAAATAACTGTTGGTGGGGAATAGGAGACTAGCAGTTATTGGGTGGACAACATTGGCTGAAAATGAGGGGTTATGTAGGTAACCTAGTTCTGTGAATGAAGTCAACACGCCACAGTATGGGTCAGCCTCTCTAAGGGTGAGCTGTCAGGAGATGGTATATCAAATAACCATGCCCCACTTGCAATCTCCATCTTTAAATACAGGTGTAAACTACCCGGCTCTTTCTCTTTTACCGACTAACAACATGTGCTCCCCGAGTGACCATGCCGTGTGGTGTGTTGACTTCATTCACAGAACTTGGTTAGCTACGTAACCCCTTGTTCTATTTCATCTCAGTCAACACGCCACAGTATGGGTCAGCTGTGTACCAGATAAGGTTGGGATGGAGATAAATATTCATGCCATCTGAACATTTTATTAGTTTTCCCTTTTATTTACTAAATACTAAAAAAGGGTTACTATAGGGTGACCATATTTTAGTTTTGGAAAATGGAAAAATGGAAAATTACACGCACTGTCCATTTCCGAGTGCGACTGGCCATCCTGTAGAAACTTAGCATCCGGTCGGCCATGTCCACGCGCCACCCATGTTGCTGTTGTACTCAGCAATTGCCACTGGTCTTGACACCTGGACATAACTTTTGTCTTTCTTAGACCATCTGCTGCGTGTGTCCTGAGGCTCAATGCCGTAGGCAGAGGATGCCATGACCACTGGCTTGTTGTCAAACCACTTAATGACAGCGAGTTCAGGAGGACTTCGTCTGACCACCATTTCAGATGCCCCTCTTCCTTTCTTTTTGATGGTATGATCCCCTATAACGTTGCACTCCTTTGGAATTCGGTTCTTTATGAGAGTTCCAGTTCCTGCCAGCCCTTTCTCCATCAGGGTATCCAGAAGGTCAACAGTTGTAAAGAACTGGTCAAAGAAGAGGTGTGTTCCTCTGGGAACGGACTCGGCCAAATGAAGGACAGCTTGTTCTCCAATGCCCCGTCCTGCTGTGACTCTCAAGGTGGTCTTGCATTGGTAGACCACAAAATCCAAAACCATACCGCTTGGTGTAGCCAAGACAAACACCTTCAATCCAGTTGGGTATGGTTTGCCCGGTACATACTGGCGAACTGGGCAGCGACCAGTAAATGGAATCATCTGATCATCAATGGACAGTTTTTGAGTTCTAGGCTGACTTAGACATCCTTGCCTCACTTTGTTCAGAAGGGGCCTGACTTTCCACAAGAGGTCTCTTCTTTTGTCCTTATCTGAAACATCAAGGTCATTGATGATCATGATGGAATTTCTTAGTTTGTAGAACTGATTTCTGGTCATGGATTCTGCCACTATTTGAACTCTGCTGTTCGAGGCCCAATACATCTGAATGTTTGGATAACCTAGACAGGCCATGTAGACAGAACTCCCAAAGAATGTCTTCAACTCTTCAGGAGTGGTGTTTAGTGCTGCTCCAGACACAAGGACTTTGCGCTGGTTTGTGCACATAGCCATTTCTTTGAACACAGAGTCATCAATGTACTGTTCAAAATAATTCATTGGCGTCCAGTTATGACATGTTTTGGCATCATTGCTCTGAGTAATGGGAGGATTATCGAGTTGGGGGTTGAATCTTAAGAAAGACACAGTCTCTCACTATCATTTGAAAAAAAACTTCTGTTATACAAACAATCTTTACAATGAGTTATCAGAATAAATAACTGTTTAGACATATATATTGTATGTAATAATAACATATAGATGTAAATGTTAATAGTAATATATTTAGAATACAAAGACAAGGTGTAAATTGTAGTCCTGCCCCAGAGTGGACGGCGACTGGACGTGGACGGCTCTGCTCGCTCTGTCTCCTCTGCCTCTGCTTGCCCTATCTGAACTTCATCCTCGGCTTTCCCTGTCTGAACTTCATCCTCTGAGCTATCTGAGTCCTCTGCCTCTTCCTCAAACACTGCATCTTCATCATTCTGATCAGACAACTCAGTATCTCAGTTTTCCTCAACAATTCGCAGTAAAATTCTCTCTGCTTCTGACAGTGAATCCCTTCCTGCTCATTTGAAAAAATGGATAACAAAATTGAGGTAATAACTACAAATGTCCACTAGAGAGAACATTTTTTTAACACTCTCTTATCATGGTAAAACATTGTTACATTATGCTACAAAATTAATTAAAGTGTTCTTCAGAGGTTCATAAAAATATAACAACAGCATTTCAAGACAAAATTTGTTCAATAAAAATGATTAAGCACTTGCCTTTCTTCTTTCCGTAAAAAGCCCTTGTGGTGATGGACGCCATTTTCTTTGCAGAGGAAGAGGAAGTTCACAAAACCCCACTCCTATAAATTGGGTGTCATTTAAAAGTCCTAAATGTCCTTTAGAGTACAAAAGGACTTAATTCAGTAGTATGCAGGAGGTGGGAGATATTTAGGTTTACAAATGTCCTCTAGAGAGGACAAATTTTAACTGCTGGTAGTCAGGAGGATGTGTGCTCCTATCCATGAGGCATCCTGTTTCCCTGCAATGGATTGCCTCACCAGACAGTGCCAGATAGGCACTCCTTCAACACTGACTGCCTATATATATATATATATATATATATATATATATAATGAAATTGATTTTCTTTTTGGAGATCAGTGGCTTTCTCCTTGCAACTCTGCCATGTACACCATGGTTTCTCAGTGTTCTCCTGATGGTGGACTCATGAAGACTGTGGATTTGTGGAGTCCAAACTCTTTAGAGATGGTTTTGTAACCTTTTTCCAGCCTGATGAGCAACAACAACTCTTTTTCTGAGTTCCTCAGAGATCTCCTTTGTTCGTGCCATGATTCACTACTAGGGCAGGTGTTATTGCTCCATTTCCTAAAAGAACTGAGACCTCGTCTGTCAGAGACCTGCACTGTGTCTCTTCTCTCAAAACAGTAGGAACAATCCCTTGAAATTGGGGTGGCTTGGATTTGAATTGGAGCCTGTATCCAAACTTCAAGGTGCTCAGCACACATGCATATTGAGTGCATTGGCACCAGTGGAAGAGATGTTGACTGGAAAAACATGGGGCCAGAGGTTGATAACTGTCAATGACGGTTTCTTCCACCTGGTGCTTGTGCTGGAAGTATCTGCCTGTAATATCCTACGATATTACTGGAAGTCTCTGCCTGTAATATCCCAGCTGTTGTCTGTAGCCCATGAGTAGCTGGTGCTCAAACCATTGATCGAGTCAGTTCCCTTGTCCTACGAGACTGCTCCAAGGCCGCTTCCGCAGGGGGTCCAACGATCTCCCCAGGCACTAATGGTGCTGCAATGACTGCCATGCAGTCTTGATCCAACAGATTAGCTTGAGATAGCTGTACCTGGCTATATTGGCCATGGATTGTGCCAGGGCTTGGGCATCCGCACTTGTTCCTCAGATCAGCATATCAACCGCTCGCAATGTCTCTAGGGTGTTTTCTTAATTTGTCAAAGTGGTGGACAATTCCTGCAGCAGACCTTCTAAATAAACCAAGAGGAGAGAGTTTGTGCATGCAAGTCTTGCCAACAAGGCAGAGGCATGACAGGCTTTCCGCAGCTGACTGTCGATTATCCTACAATGCTTGTTAGGGTGTGTAGCATCTCTTTCAGTCCTAGCCGTAGCCCGTCAACATAGCAAATGTGGGTCTGATCTGAGGGGCTGTAGCAAGCCCATAAGCTGTTGCCCCTGCCAGGTTGCCCAGCTGTATCCTGGACTGCAGTAGAACTAGGGCCTTCCATGAAGACTGTAAATCCGTTACAAAATAGGGAAGTATTGGCAACCCCTCTGTTTTATGACACTGAGGGCCTCTATCAAACACTGAGGTTGATGTTGAAGCAGCTTGGGAAGGCAGTTTTGCACACTCAGCTGCTCTGGAAATCACTGCTTTGTCTGATGGGTCTAGTGGAATAGTATCTGAGGCCTCCTAAGCACTATCCCCTGTTTCTGACTGTTTCTCTGGTTCTGAAGACCCAGAATTTTCATCCCTTCCAAACACTCCAGACGCTGCCACAGACAGCTCATCAGAGTGTCAGCATGGATGTTTTGACAATGGCACCCTCAACTCTGGAGGTTCTGCAGCCCATTGTTGAGTCTGCAACAAACTTTTCAGGGTGTCTTGCATACCTTGCATTTGCTTCTGAAGCTGACTGATGTCCCTTTCTACATGCTACCACTTACGAGCTTGTTTACATCTGACCCTTTCATCCTGAGGATCCTGTTCAGACTGAAGTAGCTCTTTGCCTGCAGAAATCTCAGAGGGTAAACCAATGGTGTCCTCCTCTTGCATCGTAACACAAGGAAAGTTAAATCAATTTAGCTAGCTTTCTTCTCCAAAGACGAAGAGGCCTCTTTGTCTGAATTATAATAATAAGATTCCCACACTGCGATCACAGACAGCTCTCCGTGACATGGCAGCTTTCACACTTACAGGTGAAGAGGCCCCCCTTGGCTGTTTGTTAGGAGCTACCTCTAAAAATATATAAATATATATTATTATATTTAAAATATAAACAACACCGCATTGCTGATTTAATACTCACCTTACGTTTTAAACATGAAAAACATATGCCAACATGGTAGCTTCCACCCTCACAGGTGAAGAGGTTCCATTAATCTCACTGCACGCTTCTTACACAAAGCACACGCCAATGTGTTAGTTTCCACCCTCATGGGTAAAGATACTCCTGTCAGCCAGATACAACAAAAGAACGTGAAGAGGAATTCTTATCGTCAAACCACTCTACCGATAGCTAGGAGGCAAAAAAGAGAAATTGGCGGCTACTTTGCACCTGTATTAATAGATGGCATGGTTAATTTGATATACTGTCTCCTGGCAGCTCACCCTTAGCGAGGCTGACCTATACTGTGGCGTGTTGACTGCGATACAACTACTCAATTACTAAGAGTGTGCATGCTTATCTTTGCTGAGTATCCCCAGGGAATGGTAAAGAGTTCCTTGGCACTGAATAAAAGCTAGTGAGAGAGCAGAGTATTTATTACTGTAGCATTCAAGGGTAAAGGCCTAAACTGGAGAATAATACACCCTTAATTATAAAGGTTCCAAAAGGGGCTTTCGGAGCAATGCCACAGAAGAACCCAAAGAACCATGCAGTGAACAGTTTTTAAAAGATCTTAAAAAAAGGTTCTTTAGAAAAATCTAAAAAAAAAACATTTTGTGGAATGGAAAGGTTCCGTGGATTTTAAAGGTTTTTCATGGAATCACAGATGCAAATAAAGAACCTTCATTTTAAAGAGTGAGTCTCAACAGGTAATTACTGGACAGCGGATGCAGAAGAAATGTGCTTACCTACATATAGTTCTATTTAAGTAAGTAAATAAGTAAATAAATAAAGACATTTTTATTTTAAATGGAAAATGGACAAGTTGGACTGTTATTTTCCAGCATACATGTGAACATGCATATCAGAATGCTCTTTCATCGTCCCCGTGTTGGACACACTCGTCAGGTTCTTGCAAAGAGACAAATGGGTAGGCTGTGTTGGAGTCCAACGTCACTAGAGCTTAGTGGAGAAAGCAGGAAGATTTAATAACAAATGAATATTTACGTGCCAGTGTTAAAATGTAAAATTTGTTTAATTTAAATGTAATTCAAGCATTTATATTTTTCAGTGTTAAGTGCTTTTTGGGGTCTTTTTGTTTTTTTTTATTTGGTCTATTTTTAAACATCCTGACACAGTAACAACATTGGCTTAACCAATAGTGTTTTAGGATGGGAATATCTGGTTGTTTGACCAATTGGAGCAGGTGGAAAAGTTTTGGAAAATAAATATATTATAAATAAATATCTTGCTCAAAGTCACAGTGGCAACAATGGAGCTACTAATTAGCTCATCAATTTCTGCGTCATACCTTCCAGATTTTGCTTTAGGACTGTTGTTTTCTAGGCTAGATCTTCAACCTCTACTTTTACTCCTGATAGCATTTATGATTTGGAATAATACAGCTTTTGGAAAGCATCCAAGCAGTTTTATTACTAAAAGCAATCAGCGTTGATAAGTTTACGCTGAGTCACTTTGAAATGTCATCTTGATCATCATGGTTACAAACACTAAAAAGACCAGTGCAATATGGGGCGTGGAGTCCACTCAGCTTCCTACTTAAAAAGCCAAATAGTGAGACAGGTTGGTTTACAGAACCAAACCGATCATCTTTGAACATGGTGGAGTTAAAGGCATGCAGTGCTCTAGTGACAGGGGCCAACCGAGGGTTGGGTTTAGAAATGGTCAAGCAACTCCTGGAGGCTCGTTGCTCAAACATTTTTGCTGCATATCGTGACCCAGATGGGCCAAACTCTGAGGTGAGTATTCAGGAGCTTTTGAAGACAGTTCAATAACAGTTGGTAAATGTGCATTTGTCTTTTGGACTATATTTGACATCGCAATAGACAGTTTTTTGGGTTTGAAATAACATCACATTTTTCCTGCTACTATTAGATGTTGCTGATCCATGCATTATCAAAGAGTCTGCCAAAAAAGTTGGTTCTCTGCTGGGGAAGAATGGGTTGAATCTGCTTGTGAATAATGCTGCAGTGTTGCCACAAAAAACCATGATGACCGCCACTGTCGAGGACATGCAAAACACCTTCAACACCAACGTGATAGGACCTTTATTTGTCATTAGGGTAATGCAATCACTTGTGGGAACAAGCTGAATCTAAAACAAGGCTTTATTTCTTGCGGTGTCTGAAACACTTGGTTGTTAATGTCTTTAATCAGGAGTACCTGCCATATTTGCGTAGAGCAGCTAAAGCCAAGGGCAGACCAGGGATGTCATGTGATAAAGCAGCTGTGATCAACATATCCACAGATTCAGCATCTATGAGCATCATGCCAGTAATGAAAGAGCCATTCCCACTTTTCCCATACAGCATCAGCAAGGTATGCAAGAATCCCAAGACTACGGCCTTTCGCACCGCGGGAACCTTTTCATAGTATGTCGACCGGCTTACGTCACTTCTTAGTACACACTCTCGGTGCGAATGCAACCCTTTAAATGGTACTAGGAAATAGTTTGCGCAAAATCGTCCCAGTACTTTAGTACTGTACATTTAGTTCTGGAACTAAAGCGGTGCGAAAGGCCCTACTGTTCTGATGGGCTTCATCAGAAAAATCCTAATTTGTAAGTCGTTTGAAACTCAATTAAAATCATATATTTGGAAATGTTTCAGTATGAAAAGGTCAGATTAGATTTCAAATAGTTTAATGTGTAATGTCCCTGAATAGAAAAAAGTAATTTTTTCAAAAAGTAAACGATTTGAAATTGAATGTAATATCACAACGAATGTGCTATTGAGCTGTGTGCAAAATCACCTTTGTACACTGACTGCTATAGTTCTAACAAAAACCGTTTTAACTGATTTGAAACTTTGTCATGCATCCGTTTTCCTTTCAGACTGGTCTTAACATGTTGACCATATATACCGCAAGGGACTTGCAGGCAGATGAGATCCTCTGCATTTCCATTCACCCAGGATGGGTGAGGACAGACATGGGGGGAGATGAGGTAAATCTAGATTCAGTAATAAAGGAATCTCTCAGGACCTAAACAGAACATGAAGCCTGAATCACAAAAGCACACTGATGCAGGCCCGGATTGGCTAATCGGGAGCACCGGGAAAATTCCCGGTGGGCCGGTCTGTTTTTTGGCCGCGAGGGCCGGTACTGTCATGCCACTGCTATGGGGTTGAAATATGGATGCCCGTATTTAAGGCATCAAAGAAGCGTCCCGTATGAAAGTTATAACACAGTTTGTCCCGTATTCGCAGGCATACGCCATATGACCACCAGACCATATGAATAACAAATTCTCAATTGATAATTAATCATTAATTTTGCGCAAAATATTGTTTTATTTGTGAACGTAGCCGATTGAAGAAGGCTTTAAGACCAAGCGGAATCCTCTGCCGGCTGCTCCCGTTTCACAGCGAGCAGGACTCGCGCTTAAAAAAAAAAAAAATAAAATAAAAATTTAACTTCTAGCGCATTCTTAATCTTGGACCTCATTTTACTGAAGTAGAAATCCAAGCGCCAGAAGCAGCCCACGAGTTTTCTTTAAAAAGTATCCATTTTCATTCATTCATAGGCTATATGGTTGCAATAATAGCCATTTTAGTTCCAAAAATTTAAGTGCATTGACGTTTCATAGACGTTCAGTTATGCTTTCAAATTTCTTGCCATTTGTATGTAATTTCACAGTATTTTCACCTCCTAAATTACTACACTACTTGTGCAGTCACGATTTTATAATGGTACAATTTACTCAGGCCGATTACTTTTTTTGTATGACATTAAAATTATTTTTAGAATATAGGTTAAGTAAAACAAATGTGATTATTTCTGAGAACTTTTTAACTGTAGGCAGACATTATGGTACAGTATGCCTACAAATATTTAGTTGGAGATATGCGAGCAAAAAATAATAGATTAAAAAATGTATAATAGAAAGCGCAAAGGCGGCGCTGAAAAGGCCAGTAAATAATAATAATAAAAAAACAAAGCTGTAGAAAAATATTATGAATTACAAGTCTGTAGAGAACAGTGTGCTATTGCAGACTTATTTACTGAAGTTTTAATTACATTATTGTAATAGCTATAGTCAGTCGTGAACTAAAGTGGGCCGCTCTAAGGCATGAAACTCCAGGGCTGAAAATGACTCCCACTCCAGCCCTGCACTGATGGTCTCTTTTTTGATAATGCTACACTATTTTAAATGCATGTTCTTCCCTGTTTGCCCACCAGGCGCCTATTGATGCCAGAGAAAGTGTGGAGGGGATGCTGTGCGTCATTGGCAGCCTTACTGAGAAGCAGCACGGAGGATTCTTAGACTATACTGGAAAAACAATGCCCTGGTAAACCAGAAGAAAAACTCTTAAAAGAGGAACTTTATCAAAGGGCTGATCCAGATGACCTATTTTAACCAATATAAATAAAATAAGCACAGTCATTAATGTTTATGACATGTTAAACTTCATTCTCTGTGTTCAATACAATAAAACAAACAATACCACAATATTGTGTCTACACTGGAAAAACAATGCCCTGGTAAACCAAAAAAAAAAGTTCATCAAAGGGCTGATCCAGATGACCTATTTTACCTATTATAAATAAAGTTATAAGTCATTAATGTTTGACATGTTCAACTTAATTCTCTGTGTGTTCAATACAATAAAACAAACTAAACAAAAAATACTTCAATATTGTGTCATTTATCTGAATGCATAAACTTTTTGTGCTGTATAATTTGCCATTCACCATTTAAAAAAAACACCATCACAACACATATTTAGTATTTAATGTTAAGTGTTTTCTGACAGCATTTCTACACTACATGCACCTTAGCAAGCAATATGGGATGGGACTTAAAGACACTTAATCAGTCTTTTTACATTTTGATCAATATCCTTAAATTTTATAAACTATTACATAGATCTACTGAGTCTACCAAGCTGCTACTTCTACTAAACTTAGCATTGTGAAAAGAGCAATAAATACAACGGGCTTTTCTGATCATGAGACATTACATATCAGTAACATATTTAAATGAGGTAAATGTAAATATTAGTAAATTATCCAAACATTTACTTTGGTAGACAACAAACTGTCCATAAAACTTAACATCATGTACTACCAATCAAAGGTCTAGACACACTTGACTGAGCTTCTTGTGCACTTTAAAATCTGTTTATCTAAAGCCTTATGCTTAAATGCCAGAAATTAATTTACACGCATTACATACTTTTGTACTATAATTTTGACAAGTCATGTCTTGTGGCTAAGAAACTTCCACTGGATTAAAAGATAAATAACTGTTGGTGGGGAAAAGGAGGCTAGCAGTTATTGGGTAGACAGTTTGATACCGAGGACTTAGGTTTTGAGAAATAATTGAAACATTAATCACGGTCAGTTTGTGTTAAGACCATAAAAAACATGGGCTGATAACTACTCTATAAAGAGTGTGCATGGTTATCTTTGCTGAGACTCTACAAGGAATTGTTAAAGAGTTCTTGGCCGTTGAATAAATGCTAGTGAGAAAGCCAAGTCTTTTTTGCTGTAGCATTCAAAGTTAAAGGCCTAATACTACACTCTTAAATATAAAGGTTCCAAAAGGGGGCTTACAGAGCAATGCCATAGAGGAACCATTTTTCCTTCACCAATGATTCATTCAGAAGTCCATTCAGTGAACAGTTCTTATAAGAACTTTAACAAAGGCCTCTTTAGAAAATCTAAAGACCCTTCTGTAAAGAACATTTGTGGAATAGAAAGGTTTTTCATGGAACCACAGATGCAAATAAATAACCTTTATTTTAAAGAGTGAATCTCAACAGGTAATTACTGGATAGCTAATGCAGAAGAAAATTCCATGACAGACAAATTTAAAATGTGCTTACCTATATATGGTTCTATTTATTTATTTAAAAAAAAAAATATATATATATTTTTTTTTTTTAATTTCCAGCATACATGTGAACATGCATCCCAGAATGCACCTCATCAGTGAGAACGCCCAAAGTGTGCAGAGTTGGAATCCAGATGAATGGTGGTGACTTTCTATGAAAATTGGCCACATCTGGTCATACTTCGGTTTGACTTATTTTATGATTTGATTTCATTCTAAAACCTGGGAAAATAGTAATTTAGTAGAATAAAAGGTAAACGTTTCCAAATCTTTGACAGGTACTGTATAACTGAAGCAGAAATACATCAATAAAACTGGCATCACCAGGAGGCACTGTTCCATACTGCCACTCTCACAGGGCAGATCTTCAGCGGCCCTGGATTGTTCCCATTAATATTTGCCCCCGGACAGAAAAAAGGGAACATTGTCTCAGTAAAGTGGTCATTGAATGTGTAGATAGGTGTGACACCCACTGAATCAAAGAAGCTGACCTCTCCATTATTATAGTCGATCTTCACCCGAACCCTTTCCAGGTGGCCCTTCAGGTTGAGCGGTGTATGTGGGGTGGTCATGGCCGTGTACTTCCCATCAGAGAGAGCGATGGTCCAGAATCCTCCTTCGGGACAGCCTGAGATTTTGCCTTTCCTGGCTACTGATTCTTTAACCACACCAATTACCCAGTCATTATTTTGGCCCACAACCACCTCCCAGGAATGACATCCTGAGGTGAAACCCTTGGAGCCCAGTACAAAAACAAAGTGGTCAAAGCGCTCAGGGTTATCAGGCAGCTCTTTCATCGTCCCTGTGTTGGACACACTTGTCAGGTTCTTGCTAAGAGACAAACAGGGGTACGCTGTGTTGGAGTCCAACGCAACTGGAGCTAAGTGGTTGAGAAAGCGGGGAAAACATTTTAACAAATGTATATTTATGTACCAGTGTTAAAATGTCAAATTTGTTTAATTCAAATGTAATTTAAGTGTATAATTTTTCAGTGTTAAAAGTGTTTTTTGGTAATTTTTTTAAACATCCTGACACAGTAACATTGGCTCAACCAACAGTGTTTTGGGGCAGGAATATCTGGTTGTTTGACCAATTGGAGAAGGTGGAACGGTTTTGGAAACCTGTCTGAAAGCAATCACTTTTTGCAATTCCATTTGCCACGTTAGTAATTACACCCATTGAATAGTAATTACACAGCTTTAAAGGGTTAGTTCACCCAAAAATGAAAATTAGGCTGCGTTTTACTCACCCCCGAGGCATCCTAGGTGTATATGACTTTCTTCTTTCAGACGAATCCAGTCGGAGTTATATAAAAAATTGTCTTTGATCTTTCAAGCTGTTTAATGCGACTCAGTGGGTGTTGCATGCATCAGCCCAAAAGAAGTTAAATAAAAAGCACCCATCCATAAAAAATAGTGTCTCACACAGCTCCGGGGGGTGAACAAAGGCCTCCTGTAACGAATCGGTGTTTTTGTAAGAAAAATATCCATATTCAAAATGTAATAATCACTATAATCTAGCTTGCACTCACTGTTGTAAACGGAAGCAGTTCCGGGTGGATGACGTATGAGGTCAGCTTTGTGCATGCACCGCTCAGAAGTGACGAACGCGGAAGCGCAGCGGAGAGATCAAAACAAAACAACGGTCAAGAATTAGAAGTACAAAACGAGGATTAGGAAAGAAGAATGTCAGAGGATTTCCATATAAGCCAAGAGGAGACTGGTTTTCCTTTGCTAAAGTAAGGAAACTTTGTTTCCTTTGATCCTGTAAACAAACGTTGGTTTTCACGAGTCACTGGCGCATGCGCAACGCTGAACTCATACGTCATGCTCCCAGAGCTGCTTCCGTGTACAACTGTTGGCGCAAGCTACATAAAAGTGATTATTACGTTTTGAATATGGATATTTTTCTTACAAAAACGCATCGATTCACTACAGGAGGCCTTTTTTCACCCCCCGGAGCCGTGTGAGACACTTTTTTTTATGGATGGGCACTTTTTATTTAACTTCTTTTTGACTAAAGCAATGCAACACCCGCTGACTGCAATGATAGAGCTTGAAAGATCAAAGACAATTTTTAATATAACTCCGACTGGATTCGTCTGAAAGAAGAAAGTCATATACACCTAGGATGCCTCGGGGGTGAGCAAAACGCAGCCTAATTTTCATTTTTGGGTGAACTAACAGAAAGTAAGTGTCATTGATAAATATAATTTAATAGATAATACATTTAATATAATTAAATACCACATTTAATTTGTCTTTATGAATTAGCCATAAACATATGGGCTACTTTCAGAAACATTAGAAGTTTTTGGAATGACACCTACATAAATATTTCATTATATAAATAATGAAATATATTAATATATTGAAATATAAATATATTACTATAAAATATTTTTTCATTTTATAATTTTATCATCATTTTACAATATTTTTACATTATATCATTTTATGTACCATGCTGGCTGAAAACCATTTCCCAGAAAGCTCTACTTTACTCAAAGTCTTCAAATTGGAGCCAAACAACATGATGCAGATTTATAAGATAAAAACGTACACAGAACACATTAGTGATACTCTGAAAGTCTTTGAACTGCAGTTCAGTAATTTCCCTTTCCTGTGCTTCTAAATTTACCTGTCAGACATTCTATTCAAATTCCAACTCCTGAATTTAAAGGGAACCTATTCTGAAATTCTAAATGTTTACACAAACTCATCCAACTCTGTAGTAACTGAACACTCACTGTATTCCACCAGGCTCTGCATTTTTTCCCACACTCTGAACTGCAGCGAGGTGATGTGCTCCGCAACGTCGATTAGAGAATTGGGGACGTTTTCTGGTTCGTTAAATGTTATCTGAGCTCTGGAAGGACATTCATTCAGGTTAGTCGTGGCTTTTATGCAAATAGATCAATCAAATTCTTTCAAATGTACAATGTACTATTACCTCTTTTTGACATTCTTGTAGTTCTGTGTGAAAAAAGTAAAATCAGTTACTTGCACTAACATTTGTATAAACTTGATAAGATTAGTTAACAATCCAAATACAGCAGGTTACCTGTAAAAAGAGGCTGTCAGCATTAGCAATCTCGTTTTCAATGGCCATGACAGCCTGAGAAATGGTGAGTATATCACGAGCGATTATGTCGGTTTTTTTCTTCATCGTCTGTTTCTTGGTCTCTTCTTCTTCTGCCAGCACAGCAATCCTTGCAGCTTCCTCCTTCAGAAGAAATTGGCGAAGCTCTTCAAACTCCTTGTGAATTTGTTTCTCTGTCTGTTGTCTTTGGTTCTGTGAATCCAACATAAAGAAGGCAATTAAGTGATTATCCCAGTTATCTGTTGATGGTTAGTGTGTCATATGATGTTTGTTAGTGTGGATCTTGTTCTTTGTTGATACCTTGATGTGGACAGTTATGTCATCACATTCCTGTTTGGCCTCATAGAGGCGTTGAAGGCTTTTCTTAAGTGGGATGACAATCTGCCGCATTTCCTCCTGGACAAAAAAAAGTACATCTCAATCCAACAATGTCCAAAAACAACCCTCTAGGACAGTTTGTAAACCAAAAACAAGAATCCCACAAGATTTTAAAATAAATAAATTAATAACAATATAGAAATTACGCTAAAAAAAATCAAGTTCTAACTCTAGGAAAACACATATTTACTATTAATGTCATTACTTTTGAAAACTGTATTGACTTTGCCTCAGTTTATTACATTCCCAGATATTATCAAGTTTTCCATGACCATGAAAATGTGTTTTTTCAAGAACACCCACCAGATTCCACAATTGTAATTTAGTAATGGTAATTAACCAACTTCATGCATTTTTGTTTTGGCAAGGTAATCTGTATTATATCATTAAAATGCAAAAAATAATCACGTAATTATTGAATATAATGTATAATAATATATTATTTAATATAGTAATCAAACTGCATGTATACATTCTGGCAGCATTTATTGTTCTACCTTTAATTTATGCATATTAAATATTTACAATTTAAAACAATTTACAAAATATCTATAGCATCACAGTAATAAGAATCGAGAATAATGACAAATAGAATAAAAATGTCTGGATGCATTATGGTAATAAGGATTATTGAGGGTTAACATGCGTGTCATAAATCAATTTCAAAATAAAAACAACCAAGAGCCTTATTACTATTTAGCCTTAGTATTTTGGCTTATTTGTGGTACAAAAATAAGCTTACTTTGAAAATAATTTCTTAAAAGAAGAAATATAATACATCATCACCTTGAGATCATTTGCTGCTTCCTCCAAAGGACACACACTGTGGCCTTGATGTTTCTTGGACGTTTGACAAACACAGCAGAGAACTTCTTCATCATATTGGCAGAACAATTTGAGTCCCTCTCCGTGAGTGGCACAGAGAGCCTCTGGTTTAAACGTCCCGTTGGTTGAATATGAGCCCACTCTCGCAGACGCTTGTCCTTTCTGCTCCTGTGCGATGGCGTCGCACACGTTCTTCAGAGCCAGACTCACGGTGGGCTCCGTCAGAGAACACTTCCTCCTGCACACGGGACATTCCCTCTTGGCCGCCTTCTTGTTCCAGAAGGCCTGAAGGCAGAGGCGGCAGAAACTGTGGCTGCACTTCAGGACCACGGGATCGGTGAAGATCTCGCAGCAGACCGGACAAGAGAGCTCATCCTCTAAGGGCGACTGCGTGTGGGACGACAAAGCTCTCGGGCGCATAACTGGGACGTTTTTAAGGCTTGGAAGGGTGTTTGCTCTTCCAGGTTGCGAGGAAGCCCTTGGTCGCAAGGGCATGGCTGTCTGGTGTTGCTGGAGTGGAGTCCACTTGCTTTTGAAACCAAAAACGTGATGAGCCCAAGCTACTCCTGCAGTGTTTCATCTAGACCACAAGCCTTCCACAAGCACCCTCACGTTCCAAAAACAAGTCTGTCCTTCACCAATAATGATCTTTTATAGAGCCGTGACTATCCTACCATCACAGAATTCTCAGAAGTCCGTCTTTTGACAACACCTCGTCCACTGGAGCACTGGGTTTTTATTTACGTCACTCTAATATACGGTCTTGGTTCATTATTGGATCAACTGGTGCTTGAGGGGAAAACAGACCGCCATTGATCCGTGAAATGTTTGGTGTAAGCATTATTGTTTTGGGAACTCGGAGGCAACACGAGGGGTTGCAAGAAAGCAAATGCTTTCCAAATGCTGCAGGGACATTTACGCAAAGTAACTTATACAGAAAACTCCACATATAGCCACGATGAGTGGAAAAAATGGCAAAAATGTGTGTTTCTAACAGGATAACTTACAAATACTATACCAAATCACTCTTAAATCATATTTTCAGTGCAGGTCACTCGTTCCCTTATATGTCCACAATGGTAATAAAAAAGTAAAGAATGGAAATATGCCCTTGGTGAGGTTGTTCAGCTAAGGAGAACGAACCCAATGTTTCAATGAACAACCGTAAGAAGGAAACACCTACTGCTTTCCAGACCATAAAAACAAAACCAAACAACTCATTTTGTTTGTTTTAATATTGTTGAGAAATCTAACAAATAACAATTTGGTGCAATAGCATTTCTGTCAATGAAAAAACAACAACAACAGATATAAGAGGGTCTGAATACTTAGGGCCGTGTGATATTTCAGTTTTTCTTTTTTTTTAATAAATCTGCAAAAATGTCAACAATTCTGTGTTTTTCTGTCAATATGGGGTGCTGTGTGTACATTAATGAGGAAAAAAAATTAACTTAAATGATTTTAGCAAATGGCTGCAATATAACAAAGAGTGAAAAATTTAAGGGGGTCTGAATACTTTCCGTACCCACTGTATATCATAATTATTGCCATTTGAAGGTCGTCTGAGACAGAGTAACATGAGGCCATCAAAACCATTACTTCATCAGTGTAAACTATTCATTCTTAAAAACAACGCTTATCTAAATGTGTTCAGAAAGCATCGAATGAAAAAGTGTCCAAAGTAAATCAACGACAAGAGAGCTGTGTTTAAACTACACTGATAGCTTTACAGTATGTAAAAAGTAACACCAAAACATTTTTTTTTTCTTTTACATTTTTGATCTGGGTCCTTTAAACATTAACCTACATCTTCCACAAGACAAGACGCCCGGCTAAATAATAAAAAAAGAAATATAAAGTTTAAAGTTTTAACCAGCACATGATCAGTACTTTACATTTCAAACATGCTCTGACTTTACAGATGTGAAATACTACAGTGTTGAACTGCCTGGTTAAAAGAGTAATAATCAGCTCTGAGTTCCACTAACTCAACATGTGCTCAGTGTAAGACGCCCATGTTTGGTCATATTTGCAGTAATATTGTCAGTATCTTGGAAATGCTCACTGGACTGGCTGTAGTATAGCTTTTTTTGTAAACACATCAACACTATAAACACTCAAATCAATACCATACAATCAACTATCAGTGCTTTAATATTAACTTGTAAGTAGGGCTGGGCAATATATATATATATATTTTTTTTTTTTTCAAAAGCCATGTTTTGCATGTGTGTGTATATGTATACACACAACATTGATTTTCAAATCTGAAATGAAACTATCCTATCGCCCAGCCCAACTTTTAATCCCTTCATACTTCATACCTCCTCCACTATTCCTTTAAAGGATAAATACTGTAACAGGTGAAACACTATCTGTAATACTTCATATTTCTTAATACTGATTTTACTGATAAAAAAAGAAAAAGATTTCCTTGTGTTTGGCATTATGCAGTAGTTTACCACACTACTAAAATGAAAACGGATGGTCTATTTCTTTCCCATTTCTTTTACTCTTTTAAAATAAGAGCTAAGCCACAGAACTGGAAATGTAAAGCACTAGAGGTCATTTAGAAACGGTTCACTGCAACAGCTTCAAAGCCACTTGAAATCCTTTGTATAATAGACAACAAGAGTACATAACAAGACAGCACATGCTTTAGGGAATCATTATAGTGTTGATAAGACAAATGGTCCATGATTCTGCCATGGGACGGGTCAGATCCACACCGCAGAGTGCAAACCAGCATTGCCTTGATCTCTGCACTGCGTGTTCTGTGCCTTACCGTGCAATTTATACAGCGTCGGGCAACACAGTGCAAGTGAAAGTCACAGTATGCAACAGAGTAACCTCACAGGGGTACCAAACACAGGCCCTGGAGTAAACACCTTGCAAATTCAATGAGTCTCAGCATCTTTTGCTTAATATCCTACTAAATAAGACATTTCATATAAGTGATTAGGCTCAACCTAGTCAAATATGAATACAATTTTAAAATGCATTCAATGTAGTGTCTTCATAACATTTGCATCTTAAAAAAAAAAAGTGGAGTTAGAGGCCTACATACAAGTGTTTCCAGCGTTCTTAAAAGCATCCCAGCATATGATCCCAAAATCAACAAAAATAAAACTCAATAGTGTTCCTAGAATTACCACTTTTAGCCATTTCTAAAATTACACCCGACCGACCTTTGCATCGCCGATGGCACCCCACACATCAAACACAAACTCATCTGGAAACGCGAAATCACCCAGAGTCTCATCCAAAGCTTCGGCAAATTCATCCGGGTTCTTTTTGTCCTTGCCGAGCTCCACCATCGTGGCAGCTGTAAATGAGTGTGGGAGTTAGAAACACCACTTAAAAAAAACAAATGTATCAAAACAGCAATATGCAGGGAAACATACCAAGTTCACTGTCTCTAATGCCCATGTAGCTCTCCAACAGATCATCGACTTTCTCGATAGCTTTTTCTTCAAATGCTGATGGCTGCAACACAAAGAAAGAACACAAAGAAAGAAATATCTGAAAATATTACAGATTACCTCACTCAGCTAAAAATTATGATTGATTAGATGATTGTGCCATTGTGGTTGGTTGTCTGTGAAGTTTTTCTAAAATGATGTTGCAAACTGTACTGATAAGTCACCAGAATAATGTTATCTAGCTGGCATAGCACGAGGTAGCATAACACAAAAGGTTTTGCCGAATTTGTAAAAATTGTGATAGACTTGAGAGCATCAGTAAAAATATTGTAAACTACAAAACAATCTTTAACATCTGCATTACTCAGTACAAGTGTGTTTATGAATATATATGGTGTATATGTATATATATATATATATATATATATATATATATACACACACACACACACACACACACACACACACAAACACAAGCACACATATATATATTTTTTGACTACAAGTGTATATATAATACTTATGAATATATTTATGAATATATGGAATCAAAATATAACTGTTTCATTTCCAGCTTCTTGCAATTTGTCTTTTAGTAAAGAAAAATATATTTGCCTAAAATGTAGGCAAAGATAAGAAATATTTAATTTAAAATAAGTAAATATCAATGCTTTTTTTTTTTTTTTTTAAGATTTATTTTTGCCGTTTTATGCCTTTTATTTAGATAGGACAGTAGGTCGACAGGAAGTGAAGTGGGTGAGAGAGAGGGGGGTGGGATTGGGAAAGGTCCGCGAGCCGGGACTCGAACTCGGGACGCCCGAAGCGCAACAGCGCTACATGTCGGTGAGCTGCCCACGAGGCCATCGGCTCCGACAATCACTGTTGTTTTTTAAAAAGATTTTACTGATACATGTAAATGTAATTTCTATCATTTTTCTATACATGAATTCGAAATTCCCTAATATTTCAAGGTTTTCTATGACTGTGGGAACTGAAAATATGTATATTTTTCATTACTATATATTAGGGCTGCGATGATAAATCGATGCAGAATCGATTCGTGGATGGATTCTGAGATCTGCGATTCTCTCTGGAATCGATTCCGAGCTTAGATTTGAACAGCAGATGGCGCTCTAATCTAGTTTTTATCCGCACACTCAAATGCTCATGAAGAAGAGTGCTAAAGAGCACTTGTGCATTCAGCTGAGTCATGCAATTTCACCTCGGCTCAGAATGCTTTTATGACGCGAGATTAATGTAAACACAGCCCACTGTGAACACCCTTGTAATTCACTTCAACCTTTTCGAATTTTATAAATGATTATTTTAGGTACAAGTGTGTGCAAGGATTTGGAACCAAGCCGAGTACGGCATGCAGCGCCATCTGCTGTTCAAAACTAAGCTCAGAATCGACTAGAGAAAGAATTGCTATGCATTCGGAAAATCTCCTATTTTCCCAGCCCTACTATATATGATATCAATTAATGAAAAAGTCTTCTAAATAAGTGCAAATTCTAAGTGCTTTTCCGTGAGCGTACAGCCGCTTCTATAAGATCTAGGTTTTTTTCATATTAGTCACAATCCGATTATATTGTTATATGTGACAATATGCTGAATTGTGAAATACTGTATGTAGTGCTGGGCGGTATACCGGTTCATACCGAATACCGGTGTTTATTTTTGTTATGATATGAATTTTTTAAATACCGCAATAAGGTATTTTTTAAATACCGCAATAAGAATGTCGCTTAAACAACGTTCGGAACGCGACACTGTTTGAAAGGGGTCCCTTTTCACTGTTGCACTGTGTTGAGGGAACAGCTGTATGTGTTACTAAGCGTGAAAGTTCCATTCACTCATTATGACAGTAAAATAGGGCATTCTAAGTCAATATACTGCAGTATTTCCTCTTTCAATCAGAAGAAAATATGGTTAACACCCAGTCATGCATGAAAAAAAAATACCGTCATGTACCATGAAATCGGTATAATTTTGAAAAATACCGTGATATAAATTTTTGGTCATACCGCCCAGCACTAACTGTATGTACTGAAGTGTGTATCATATTACAAGACAGCTAGACATGCCTAGACCTTTCCAGTCACACAAATGAAAACACGTATCGTATCCGCCGACTCATGAACTGAATTGACATGACTTCACTGTGCATTTAACCCGACGGTCTTACCAGTTCCTCTACGGTGGCTGGTCCTTTAGACCTCAGACGTAGAGTTCCTCTGCCCGTTCCTAACTGTGCAGAACCCGACCTGCTTCCCGACCGCTGACTGATCATGTCTTTAAAAAAAGGGTAAAAAAAAATCATCACATCAGATTCACTGTGGCCATCAATGTCAGCTACAGGATATTCAAAAACACTTACCAAATGCCTTCAAAGGTTCCACCAGCTTCAGGAAAAATGTTTTTCCTTTAGGCAGTTCCTTCAGCATCTTGGCAACCTCATAATGGCGGCAACCAATGAGTATCTGCCCGTTGATTGACTCGATCATGTCGCCCACGTTGATGACCTGGATCTGATGAATAATACTGTCCTCTCTTATTCTCTGCAAAGGAAACAGATGATTTTCAGGTGATTACAGCTTTGCAGCAGGCTGGGCGGTATGACTGGTCAAGATGAGGTTCAACTTATTATTAAGACGTGTTTGGTTGGTACAACGTGGTAGGGTGTATACTCTATACGGTTGTCGAGCAATGGCACAAATTGACTCATTAACATAGAAATCAACTGATGTGCAATCACAAGCGTGCTTATATCAGCTCATTTACAACAATTGAGAATCTGAAAAACCCTTTTTGTAATGTTGGTTTTAGCACTGTTAATCTTTTGTTTTAAACCAAATATTACATAATGTGGGGCTTATAAATGAGATCAATGATCTTCATTTGTTTTTGATTTTTTTTTAAAGAGAAAATAGGCAAATGAGAGGAAGAACAATTCACCATATTATCCAAAATAAGCATTACTTACATGGTTATTTAATGCTTAAAACATTTTTGTTGAATTTCCACCAATAACTACTGTGATGTACACTACCACTTAAAAGTTTGGGTTCAGTAAGATTTTTTCAATGTTTTTGGAAGAAGTCTCTTATGGTCACCAAGGCTGCATTTATTTAATCACAAATACAGTAAAAACAACATATATTATAATAATTTCAAATTACTTTTTTCTATTGTAATATATTTTAAAATGTAATTTATTCCTGTGATGACAAAGCTGAATTATCAGCATCATTACTCCAGTCTTTAGTGTCACATGATCCTTCAGAAATCATTCTAATATGCTGATTTGCTGCTCAAGAAACATTTATTATTAGTATTACCAATGTTGAAATCAAAGATGTGCTGCTTAATATCTTTGTGGAGACTGATTTTTATTTTTTTGCTGGATTCTTTGATGAACAGAAAGCTCAAAAGAACAGCATTTATTTGAAATTATATTTTTTGTAACATTATAAATGTATTTCCTGTCACCTTTGAACAATTTAATGCATCCTTGCTAAACAATAGTATTAATTTCTTGTTTAAAAAAAAATAAAAATCTTTCTGACACCAAAATTTTAGACAGTATTGGAATATGTATTGAAAATGTACTCAAGCTGTAACATTAAAATTTGGTCACATAGCAAACTCTTAGTTTTACCATGAAAATCATGAGCATACTTGCATCCTAAAAAATCCCAGGTCATTCCTCTCACCTTAATGAAAGCATAGCCAGCTCCATTATCAGTGATGGTGAGCCCCAGTGCATCCTCTCCTTTAAAGACATCCACCTCTTTTTTCTGGCCCTTCACATGAGCGAATATAAAGTCCTCTAGTCCGATCTGGCCACCCAAAAGTTTATCCATATCCACTTTGTGAGTATTCAGTGTGCAAAACATCACCTGGCGTAAGGACATAATCATTTAGTTAGTATAATCACCAAGGCCTGCTTTTATAACACAAAGGGAAATCCCGCTCACCTCTGTTGGAGGAATCCCAAAGGCCTCTCCTATCTTGGCATAGAGCTCACGCACATTGCTGAAGCCCTCGATGCGACCTGTGGGGCTGCCGTGAGCCAGCTGGGTGTGGAAGATCAGGCGAGGTCGCAGGCTGGTGGGTGGAGGTGGTAGGCCCTCATGGGCAGCTCCTTCACCCAGGCTGACCCTGCCACCATCCAGGCCATCCAACCCTGGGACGTTCAGTCCAGCTCGGATGGGCTCGGCCTCCTCGTTCTCCACCAGTGGAGACGCCTTCTTTCTGCGTCCCAATCCAAGTGGCATTTTGGATGCTGCCGTCTTCGTTTCTTGTACAGGCACAATGTTTTGATACAAGAGGGGTCTGTGCAGCACCTTTAATAATGTGCCCAAATCAAAGGACAAAGTGTCTTGAGTTCAACCCATTCAAAGGAAATCTCCAGACCTGTGATACAAAGACGGACAAACAGGGATCAAAAAAGATACATTTGTAGCAAATTTAATAGACAAGCAAAGAAGATAAAAAATAATAATTTAAACTTACAAGGAATTTAATTTGGGGAATATTATAAATCATTATAAATAAAAGACTAGTTGCATACAGCCAAAAACAAGAAACATTTAATTAAAAAGTAAATATAAGAATGTGTTACTAATTTAAAAAAAAAAAACGTTTTACTTTATTTTATTGTACATATTATGCATAATTCTAAAATGTAATTTCTATCATGTTGCTAGCCTTGAATTCTACATTTCCTGATATTTCCAGGTTTTATATTACTATTTTTTTTCATCATCACTTTTTTGATTTATAATAAGATTTAATGCATAAATGTGTTTTCCATCAATGAATTCAAAATACCCTGGTACTTCCATGTTTTCTATGACTGTGGGAACATATTTTAATGTGCATTTATATTTCCTATATTTCAAGTAATATAAATAAGTGCAAAATTTCATGGTCACTTCTATAAAATCTACGTCATCATTCTCATACATTAATCACAATTAACAAACTGGGTAGGGGAAGGATGCATTTGTAATAAGTAATTTTATTTAAATTTAAAAGGATTTAATTTGGATAAAATTAAAAACACCAAAAATAAGAAAACATTTGATTCTGCCTTGTTTATTTACAGTCATCCAGCATGCAAACTCGGAACAGCAACCTGACTAAAAATGGCAAACTAAACTCAAATACCGACCACAGAAAAAACACTTTCATGTGTTGAAGGTTCAGGATCAAAGCAGCCTGGCATGTTTCTTTTCATAGACTGAAGCTAAAGCAGCTAACAGTATATAGAGTTAGCATGTTAGCATCCTCTGGACATCACGACACTTACCAAACTAACACTGACAGAGAGAAAACCATGAACCGCTGGGACGACGGGCTTATAATCTATTCATTGTAAAAGATGACTGTTGAGGAGGGTTAAAGCGGTGAGTTAGGTAAGTGTTCTGGTAAGTGAGATAAAGGCGGATAGCACATCACTCAACACAACCTGCAGTTCTTCCTCTACTGAGAAACCAAACAGCAGCTCAAACACGCGCGCACTGCTGCCACCTACAGGAGCTGTAGGGGAAAGCGTTATAGGTTACCATGGCTGCGTTTCCCAGAAGCATCGTAAGCCTAAGTAGATCGTAGACTCATTTGTCACCAATGGAGCTAAAATCAATTTAGGCTTACGACGCTTTTGGGAAACGCAGCCCATAACTTAAAAAAAAAAAAAAAAATCCTGCATTTCACATTAAAAAATGCAGCCATTTGAATAAAAAAGTGCCCCCACAGTGCATCCAGTGAAGCCTTGGGCCTCGGTCCCCAGTCCCCCCTGTTGAAAAAAACCAGCAGATGCTGGTTAGGTATGTTTTGACGCTGGGATGCTGGTTTAAGCTGGTCCTTTGCTGGTTTATGCTGGTCCTTTTGCTGGTTTATGCTGGTCCTTTGCTGGTTTAAACTGGTCCTTTGCTGGTTTAAGCTGGTCCTTTGCTGGTCCTTTTGCTGCTTTTTGCTGGTTTATGCTGGTCCTTGGCCAGCACATGACCAGCATAAACCAGCAAAAGGACCAGCATAAACCAGCAAAGGACCAGCTTAAACCAGCAAAGGACCAGCTTAAACCAGCAACGGACCAGCTTAAACCAGCAAAGGACCAGCTTAAACCAGCAACGGACCAGCTTAAACCAGCAAAGGACCAGCTTAAACCAGCAACGGACCAGCTTAAACCAGCAAAGGACCAGCTTAAACCAGCAACGGACCAGCTTAAACCAGCAAAGGACCAGCTTAAACCAGCATCCCAGCGTCAAAACATACCTAACCAGCATATGCTGGTTTTTTCAACAGGGCCCTCAGCAGATACGGCTCCTGCATGGCAAATTTGAAAAGTGGATACAACTTCAAATGAAAGTACTGTTGTGGTACATAAAAATAAGATTACTGTTGCAATACAATTTATTTGATTTGTGTTCAACAAACATACAAGGTTCCCACATTTTTGGATCGATGAATTTGATGGGTTTTTTTAGAATAATTTTATAGAGATTGCTGGGCAGAATTCATATATTTAAATTGTTATTCTTATTTTATAAGACATACTTAAAACATTCAACAGGTTTTGCACTGCCCACACAAAGAGCAATACCATCTAGTGATAAAAGATATAGTTCACCCAAAAATGAGTATTTGCTGAAAATTTGTTTCTTTATAGACTTCGAGAATATGAGCATTACAACTTGCTCACCAATGGATCCTCTGCAGTGAATGGGTGCCGTCAGAATGAGTCCATACAGATGATAAAACATCACAGTATTCCGCATGACTCCAGTGCATTGATTATTGCCTTGTTAAGCAAAAAGCTGTGTTTGTAAGAAACAAATCTATCACTGAAGTAACTTTTAAATTGTCACTTCTGGCCATAATAAAACTTCTTCCAGTGAGAAGATCCATCCTCTTTTCCTCTCAAATCAAAATCCACCAACATATTTGTTTAGAACTGCTTTTGCTCATAAACATACTTGATATGTGCATATTTCTCTCCTAATTCAGATGAGATGACTTACTGGAGAAAGCAATTTTATGTATAGACAACTCGTATTTTAGCGGGAAACATTTTAAAGTTAGAAACAGGGCGTAACATTTCCGTCACACGCTTGAGGTATTCGGCCAATCATAACGCACTGGATAGCTGGCCAATCACAGCACACCTCGCTTTTCAGAACGATGAGCTTTGTAAAAATCGACGTGTTTCAGAAAGGCGGGGCATAAAGGAGAAACAATAATGTACAGTATGTGGAAAATAATGTTTTTTGAACCTTAAACCGCATAAACACATTTCATTACACCAAATACACAAAATAATGTTCTTTTTAGCAGCATCAAATGACCACTTTAAAGATGAATTTGTTTCTTACAAACACACAGCTTTTTACTTCACGATGTTAATTGATGCACTGGAGTCATGTGAATTATGGATTATTGCGATGTTTTTATCAGTTGTTTGGACTCTCATTCTGATGGGACCCATTCACTGCAGATGATCCTTTGATGAGCAAGTGATGTAATGCTAAATTTCTCCAAATCTGTTCTGATGAAGAAACAAACTTATCTGCATCTCAGATGGCCTGAGGGTGAATAAATGTTCAGCTAATTTTCATTTTTGGGAGAACTATATTCCTTAAGCTCGTTCACAGAGAATAGAGAAGACAGAGGAACAGCTCAAGCATTTAAAGAGGCAGACGACAAAACTGCAGAGTGCACTTACAACAAATAGCACATTATCATCTATTGGTGTGGACATTAATATTCATTATAGTTCTTGATGTGAACGGGCCTTTGAGCACATCAGTTGTGTAGAAATAGAAAAAAGTATAACTTTTCTAAATACTTACAACTCTTGTAGCGCTGACAATCCCAATAATACTTTTCCATGATCATGTATGCATTCTGGTATACAAATACAGTAACAGACTTACTACAAGACAGCACTTGTAAAGCCTTTAATTGCAAGGAATAAAAAACAATTACGCATATGATAAAGAATTGTGAAGCATTTCACAAAAAAAAAAAAAAGCCAATATCTTTTTACAGAAATGCACAAATTCCATTACGTTGTGAATTTCAAATAGCATGCTGATGATGCAGCAATAATGTGTGAGGTACTTTAAACTGTGCATATGTGCCATCACAATCTGCATACGTTTGGCACAAATACTGTCATTCCTCATAAAATTACTTCTGGTAATGGCAGTTCTAAGATGCAAAATCCAATAAAGTCTGTAAAATCGCCATTATCTCATCATTGTACATCATCTCAATATGTGCACTACAATAACAGCATAAATATGACTAAGTAAAATAAGAGTGTGTTTCCAGGGCCATGAAAGAATATTATGAATTCTTTTCAAGCTACATTTATTGCAAGCAAAAGAAGGTTTAAGTTGTGTTTAATGTTTTATAGTGTAAATTCCCACAAATGAATGCTCCTTAGCAAATTAGAAGTCTTGAAAGCTGAAGTGTGTAATTTTGCAGCAACTACACACCATTTATGCTTTCCAAAACATCAACCATTAATAGTTAATTAAAGCTACATTCAGGAATTTTTAAACCTGAAATGTACTTGGCTGCAACAAACAAATAGAGTAGGGATGGTCTGAATGGAGCAGTTATGTGCTCAAAGACACAATGGTGACATGGAAATCACAGTATGGATCAATCCTAGCAGGAGAAAGCGAGTGGTGTCTGCAGTGTAAATGTACGGTCACATTTACCATTGCTCAGTGAATCTGCATGGTCGAAATCCAGTCTCTCCAACAGGAATCTATGCGTTTGGGAATTCCGTGTGAATGTTTCTGCGACGGTTTCATAGCAGTCACAGAAATTCACTGCGTTGAGCCCAAGAAAGCTGCTTCATTTGAAAATCTGCGTGGGGAAAATTTTTGCCCCCACAGATTCCTATTCTCCTTATTTTTAACGTACGAGCTGATGCAGCCGTTTAACTTGAATGTGCGAGGCATCCGTTGTCTTTCGCTTCCAGTCATTTTAATGAAAAAACTGCTCGCTATACTGCTTATTTGCAAACAGGTATTTCTTATCATATTATTTTAATGTATTGTCATAATTATAAACACACTGGTTTGCAGCACAAGTAGTTTTATTGTACTTATAGACCTTGTAGCTCCGCCCCTTTTCTGCACTGCGCTGGTTGTCTTCTGTCTTCCGTTTGTATTTCCACAGCGTTACCGTAAATTCACATGAATTTATGAATTAACCACTCGTTTAAAAATCTTCCCAGTCTACTGACATTTACGTCATTCGCTTCAAACATTACAATGTCCATGATAAATTTCGTTAGCTCTACATTAAGTAAACCCATCAGCTTATTAATCTTCAACAGTGATGCTATAAAGCTACCACAAAAATGGAAGTTCAAAATTCTAAAAACTAAAATGCTAAAGATGGCTGCACACTTGTTTCTCTGAGGCATAAGGTCTATTCCAAGCGGAAACCCTCCTGTCTCTCTCTTGAATCCGACATAGAAGTGACTTTAACTGCAATTCATCAACTGACTGCTAGAAGACATGCTCCAAAAGGGAGTTAATCCCATAGACCCCCATGTTAAAATGGCCAACTTTACAGCAGAAAAAAAAAAAAAAGTTTACGGCCTGGTACAAAAAATGGTTTTGGTCTATATAGCTAATCTTGCCCTTCATGACAACTGTGAGGGGGTGGATTTTTTTTTATAACTCATCGGCTTACATTATAATAAAATTCTGCATAATTAAGGGCGTGGCCACTTGAGTGACAGGTGGATTGCCGGTTTGTGGAGCTAGGCAGGCTTGGTTTCAGCAACCAGGCACCTCAGCTCCACCCACGTCCTGCCTCTTTACCCATTTCCGATTATCCAGGAGTGACGTACTGCCAAGATGGCGAAGGCCGGCTCCGCCCACTTGGGGCTTCAAAAATGCTCTTCAGAAACTTATGAGTGACATCACGGACACTACGCCCATGTCTATGGTCTATTCATCTAGTTATATACCTATAGCGCCTAATGAATTGGAAATCTCGCACATTCATAGAAAATAGCTTACTTCAACATTGACAAATGAGGTGGATTGGAATGACTCCATTTCCCCGGTGAAATTTTATCACGCAATAGTAAATATAATTCTGCACTAATTCCTAGTATGGGTAACCATACTTGGCCACATGTCACGTCACTTTAAATGTAACCACACTTTAACATGCTCTGGAAGCACTGTGATAATGCTCAGGAGCCCTTGTGAATTTCCTGGGCTCACTCTATGCAAAGAAACTCGGCTCCCCAGCAGCCCCGTCATTGGGATTTCACACACCCACAATCACACACACACACACACTTCTACAATTACTATTTGAGATCCTCAGAAATGTATAAAACCTTATTGTTCAGCATTGATATTACTGTTAAGTACAATGTTGACTGCTCAGAGACTAAAATTGGAATATTATTTTAATAAAAGAAAAAATAAAGGTTCAAGGGGAAAGAAACCTGAAGAAGCAAACAAGAGGATGACGGAGCATTTACTTGGAGGTACTGCAAAACTATGAGTGAAAGTCAATATATTACTTCTGAAATGTTTCACAGTGTTCTATAAAAGTGCATTGCGATATAAGTAAGCGGGTATAAATAATCTGTTGGGAGCTCTATTGTGTTTCTCTGAGCTTGACTTTTGTGTATTTACCGCTGATACTTTCAGGTGCAATAATATCTAGAAAATCAGAAGGGCCCAATCATAGGATCTGTGTGTTGAGAGTCTGTCCTCCAGCGGTTGCAACGCTCAAGGTGGTAGGATCTGAACCAGAGATTCACGGGCACTCTGTCCCAACTTGTCCGGAAATTTCACTGAGAACTCTAGCACCATGTCTCCTCTCTTTTCAGGACATTTGGACAGTGGCAGTCCTTCTCCCACTATCCTCTTCTTCATACCGGGTTTGATGACATCACGTGATGTCACTGTGACAGTTCTACCGTCCAAGGTGGGGGCGCTGATGGTGCAGCCGCATAGAGCCTGAGTAAGTGATGGTTAAGAGAGAATAACAGGATTAACAAGATTTCCTTATTTAACCCTAAGGCTACATGAATAACCAAAATAATATAAAAATCACTATACGCCATACTGCCATTTATCAAAGGCTGCGATTTAAATAAATAAATGCGCCGCCTGTTTCAGAGCGAATTGCGGCACTATGTTCGTTTACACTGGAGCAGCTCATGATCCAGTGTTTTTAGCATCTCAGAGCTAGATTCAGAGTAAATGCCACTCCACACAAACTCACCCCTGCATCTGCTCTGAGTTTGGGTCGCTTATAACATGCAACTGGGAATGCAAGATGCATCAACCATCTTCCCAAACTTGTAAAGGCAAGCACTTACAAATCATCTGTTTTCAACTAAAGAGAACATTCCACAAAAATAAAATACATATTTTATAATGAAGAACTTTTAAAATGACAGCTATAAATATTAGTATTTTCATTTTACAGTTTAAAATTTCTGCCCAGTAATATGCTAATTTTATTTAATTATGAAATATTACAATACCTATATTATATTGATTAATATTATCAATAACAATGTTATTATTATTATTACAATCATTATTATGTGGTTATATTGATATAAAAATCACAAATTGATTTTTGCAGCCCTACAAACAAACACCGTAAACCTGGAGTAAAAAAAAAAAAAATGCATTTTATATTTGGAATTGCAAAATTTGTAAGAAAAAGCGAAAAAAAAAAAAACCTATTAAACTTTTTCCCCCCAAATCGTGCAGCCCTAATTTAACCTTTGTATTCTCATTAAAATAAGTGAAAATAGCAGTATTTTTTGTGATACGCTAATAGCTAGATTCTATTTATACTATGTTAAAATAGCAGGATGTTCTGCTAATTACTCATTGCAAATAGTGGCAATTATCTGCACCTCAGCATTGTAATACATTATAAAACAGTACGCAATAATAACTTATTGAGTGTAAATTTTAATTCAAATTATTACATGGATGCCACCTTATTGGGACAAAAGCCCTCCCTACACCTACCCTACCCCTACCCCATACTTTATTTTCAACTTTTTTATTATTTCCTTCATTTTTATTAAAAATAAATGCTTTTCTGATGTGATTTGATTTGAAATTTGAAAAGGGAGAAAAAAAAGTTCGCCAAAAGGCAGATTCGAATCTGGGTCGATCGCGTCAAAAGGAGTATGACCATAGACTGTAAAAGAGTATGACACACGCTTTACCATCTACGCCACTGAATCTGACGACTGATGACCGTCTTTTGTAATGTTGACTAGCTCAATCACATGTTGGTGGGTGGAGCTGGTGTAAATAGCCTCTGCCAACAAGGCAGGCTATTTGCACTTAGTGTAAAATAGACACTCCGATTTTTTTTTTATTCCCAACAGTTAAACAGTTGCCCACAGAAAAAAACAGGGGGTGCTGCAGCACCACTACTTCCCGCGCCTATGATTCTCATGTTACTTTACTTGAATAAAGATGTACTTTAATTATGAGAAGAATTCGAGGAACAAATTTTCTTGTAAAAGATCAAAATTACCCTTTGCTGTACTCATTGCAGGGTTTCTACAGACATGAACAAGTTAAATTTAAGACTTTTTAAGACCTTTTTAATACCCCCTTTTATAAAATTTAAGACCTAAACCTGTAATGGAAATACACATTGTTTTACATACATATATGTCATATTTAATGTGTTTAAATTAAAAAGAAAACAAAATATCATTGCTGTAATAAATTATATTTATTACTACGATATACAGTGAACTTTTCATATAAGCAGACAATATTCCATACATAATAACCCTGCAAAATAACTGCATCACTGAGATTTTTGGTGGAGTAAACAATTTATTCTGAAGCAATATTTTCATCAGTGTTCTATCAGCTTTTACATACTTAAATCTGCATATTTTTATTTACCTTTACAAAGGCCTATTTTTAACCTTTTTAGATGTATGCATCATCTTTCATGTCAAATTATTACAATTTATCAATAAATTCAATATACACTATAAGGCTGCTACCAGTCAGATTATATAATTTACACTGCAAATAACAATAATTACACCTGCAATAAATAATGTTATGAGATTAATGTTTTAAATGCATTTATGAATATACAAATAAGAAATATTGGGGGGAAAAATGCATACTTTTCAACAAACTGATTTTTCGATTAATCGTTTTTTAAAATGACGTCGATTCGATATCGATTCTCAAAAGCCGCGAATCAATCTTTTCCGGGATTTCAGCACATTTAAAACAAGATCTGATTAACGTGAATCGTATCATTAGTCTTCTCCACTAGATGTCACCCTTATTTACCTTGCGCGATGTTACAACAGAAAGCCTGTCATTCATTCAGCGCTTATCATGGCCATACGCGTGATTCGCAATGCTCAGGTGAAATGCTATAGTAATACTATAAATCTGCAGGAGTTTTTGATCACGCATAAGGCGCCATGATTTCCGCAGTGAATGAATGGCGGGGCGCACTGTTTTGTTTACTACACACATACTAAAGTGTGGATGACGCTCGCGGTGTTTTCAGCTTCTGTTGTGTCACTATATGATGATATGAACACGAATGTCATTCCAGCTGCTCCGAGAGTCAATTCATTAGCATTTTACCGTTTCATTTGAGAAAACTACCGTCATATCACATATACAGCAGCTGCAAGTTCTTCACGGCAACCCGTCAAAATAAAAGTTTAGTTTAACGTTCTACTGTCAGAATATATTACTATTTAGCAGTCTTAAGAATCAATGCTACTACTGCTAATAAATATTAATAAATCTTTATTTTTAAAGGAATAATCACATCTGTTTTCTTTTTAATTTTAACAGTAAACCTCTGTTGTGCAGCACTTTGTTTGCCAAAAAATAAAAGGGTTTAATTTTCATTTGATTAGGATAAATTAAAATTAATGTTTTATGCCTTCATCTGATTACCAGAAAAATTAAGAACATTTTTATAGGGCCCTCTTCTTGTTTAAAATATACAATTTTGACCCTATTCAAAAAGAATAGGTTTAAAATACAGACATGTGGTTCTTAATTTCTTTTTATGAATTCACCATTTGTAAACTGATGTTTACTGTTCATTTTTTAGAAATATCAATAGCATTTGTATTAAAACTATATTCACTGAATGTAATCAAAAAATCGAGAATCGAATCGGGACATCTGAATCGATACCCAGCCCTATTAACTATATGAAGTAGTATAAATATACACATTTTCTGCCCCCATGTCTTGAATTTGTGATCATTCTGAATGTATTATGTACTAGACTTCACGTAATGCGTGCACTCTTTAGGTGTTTTGAATGTTTTTTTTGCATCATGAGAATATTGAGCAAAATAGCTCACCTGTCATGGTGTTACTTAACTATATCATGTTATGAATAAACTAAACATTTTGAATTTTTACCTCAGTGTGTTTCTTCTGAGTTTATGTGTGCTGTCACGCTCATTTGTTCTGAAGTTTCTCACAAAAGAGACAAACAGAGTGAACCTCAACAGCGCGGCGACCTTGATACCAGAAATACACTATCCATTATCAATTGCTGTTTACATTGAATGTAGGCTAATAAAATTAGAAGAATCATTCTCGCGTTTCGATGCTTCGCTGGTTATTTTTTGTCACTTATGTTTTAATCACAAAATTGTATTTTAATAAATTATTATTATTTTTATTGAGAACATTAAAAAGGTAGTTCGACCTATACAGTCTATGAGCTCGACCTGTATTCTGCTACTGCGATTCTCTCTGATGACACAGTAACTTTGGAAGAAAAAATCTTTGGTCTGTCCAATGATTGTAAAGTCATTAGGTCCGTCAGACTGAAGATATTTTAGCG